AAAAAAAATAATTTAATAATTTAGATAAATTACTCAAGCGGGAAGTTTGATACTTGTTAGCTATAATGTTATTCCAGAAGCCCGTCACCAGAACCAATATATGACAGCAACGGCAAAAGGCTAAATACGAGAGAAGTGCGAAAGCGACAAGAGTTGGAACAGTTGCGTCACGAAAAGATCCAAGCACTGTTAAAAATCAACCCTAACTTCAAACCACCAGCAGATTATCGGTCAGTATGGCAGTTTTTCAATCACGTTTTTCTTTTACCTACAACTTCCTCCCATAAACAGTGTTTTTAGTGCTCCAAACATTCGATTACACGACAAAGTGTGGATTCCGCAGGATGCTCATCCTGAACTAAATTTCGTTGGTTTATTAATTGGGCCTCGCGGAAATACATTAAAGAGTCTTGAGGCAGAAACTGGTGCCAAGATCATCATCAGGTTAGGAATAAGCTGATTTTGTTCAGCGTTCCCCTACTACTATCTTTTTTTATCTCTTTTTAAGTTATTTACGTAACTTTGAATAGCTGCTTTTGTTTTAGGGGGAAAGGCTCCGTAAAAGAAGGAAAACTAGGCAGCAGACTAGGCCCAATGCCGGGTGAAAATGAGCCGCTTCATGCATATGTTACTGGCACTGATCAGGCAACGATAAAGAAAGCTTGCGATAAAGTGGGTTCTATGATTAATCACAAAGCTTGTAGCACCTTTTTTAAATGATTGCCACTAATAACTTCTTTCGAGAATTTTCTTCAAGCCTTTATTTTAAGATCCGCTCGATCATCGCTGAGGCAACAGCCATTCCTGATGGTCAGAACGAGCTTCGCAAATTGCAACTCAGAGAACTGGCTCTGTTGAATGGTACCCTTAGACCAGAAGATCTTGCCAGGTGTGTTTTTTGAGAAACCAAGTTATGGGATGATCATTGACAATTTCTCTAGTGGTGCTCGTTGCTCCAACTGTGGCTCTGATGAACATAAAACATGGGAGTGTCCAGATGCACCGAACGTTACGGCAAAAGTGGTCTGTATGGCTTGTGGATGTAGGTTTTGATACTTTAGTGTTGTGGACAAGGGTTTTACTAGGAATTTGTTGTTTGGGCATGCAGGTGCTGGACACATTGCACGGGACTGCAAAAATCCACGTCCTGGCGGGATAGAAGCTGCAGCAGGTGATGGTGGTATGGACGATGAGTACTCGGCGCTCATGGAAGAACTTGGAGAGCGGCCTGCGCGCAATGCTGATGGTTCCGTGCGCGGTCGCGGAACTACGACTTTCCGTGGAACTGTGGGGATTTTTGTTCAATTTCTCCTGATTTGTTCACACTGAATTTCTGCATTACAGAGAGGCAGTTTCTTTCCACGCGGTGCTCTCAACAGTCAGCAACCAGTCATCAGAGTAAATCTTGGAACAGCCGCGCAGCAAAATGCAATGATGAGTGCGGGAATGGGAATGGTGCCACCACCGCCCGGTGCAAGACCTCCATATGGAATGGGACCGCCCACGGATCCATA